CACAATGCCCGGCCATTTTTTGGTTGTAGTCGTCGTTGTTTGGTAGGCCCAGGCTGGATTCGAACCTGCCAGCTCTGGTTTATGTGGCTGGTGCCTTAGCCACTTGAGCTACGAGCGCTGAGCCATGTTTATTTTGTTTGTGGAGGCAGAGTCTCACTTTGTCACCCTTGGTAGAGTGCTCTAGCGTCATAGCTCACAGCAATCTCAAACTCTTGGGCTCAAGTGATTCTCTTGCCTCAGCCTCCCAAGTAGCTGGGACTACAGGTGCCTGCCACAATGTCTGCCTCTTTTTAGAGATGAGGTTTTGCTCTGGCTCAGGCTGGTTTCGAACCTGTGAGCTCACGCAATCCACCCACCTTGGCCTGCCAGAGTGCTGGGATTACAGGCATGAGCCACAATGTCCGCCCCTTGTCCTTCTTTTTAGTAGCTGAATGTTAATGTTTATCATATCATTTATCTGCCAGCAACCAGAAATGCTGTTTTGGAGGAATAGGCTATAGATAACACTGGAGATGAAATACACATACTGACTTGCACATCCACCAAATCATGGATTCTCTTGCATTGAACTGAAATAGAGTTAAAAAGCACATAGTCCAACCTGTTTTTTTGGGTTTTTTTTGAGACAGAGTCTCACTATGTCACCCTCGGTAGAGTGCTGTGGTGTCACAGCTCATAGCAACCTCAAACTCTCGGGCTTAAGTGATTCTCTTAACTCAGCCTCCCAAGTAGCTAGGACTATAGGTGTGCACCACAATCTCCAGCTATTTTTTTTGTTGTTGCAGTTATCATTGTTGTTTAGCTGGCCAGGCTGGGTTAAAACCTGCCAGCCTTGGTGTATGTGGCCGGCATCCTACCCACTGGGCTAAGGGCACCACCCCAACCTGATTTTTTTTTTTTTTTGAGACGGAGTCTCACTATGTTGCCCTTGGTAGAGTGCTGTGTCATCACAGCTCACAGCAACCTCAAACTCTTGGGCTAAAGCAATTCTCTTGCCTTAGCTTCTCAAGTTGCTGGGACTACAGGCGCCCACCACAATGTCTGGCTTTTTGGTTCCAGTTGTTTAGTTTCCCCGGGTTGGTTTTAAACCTGCCACCCTTGGTGTATGTGGCTAGCGCCGTAACCACTGTGCTGAGCCCCAATCTGATTTTGAATATAGGCTTGTTAGCTGTTGGCGAGTTCATATCCTCTATCCAGATGCATACATTTTTAAAATGGGATCATTATTCATCTAAGAAGTGGGGCTATAAAGATTAAAGCAGTGGTTCTCAACCTGTGGGTTGAGACCCACAGGAACTGTATTAAAGGCCCGTGGCTGGAACCTTAGGAAGGTTGAGAACCCCTGAATTAAAGTGTTTCTCAAAAAACAGTGTCTGTCATAAGGTTAAGTGGTAAATAAAAATGCTAGCCATGTTTGTGTGGTCCAGTGGTAGGCTTATGGATTTCTCATCCAGGTGATATTTAATTCTCTATCAACCAGGCACAACCAGGGCACCTACTTTGCTGAGAAAATAGAGGCTGTCAAGGGCCGAACATGATGGCTTACTCCTGTAATCCTAGACCATGGGAAGCTGAGGCCGGTGGATTGCCTGAGCCCAAGAGTTGGAGACTAGCCTGAGCGAGAGCAAGACCCTGTCTCTAAAAAGTAGCCAGGCATTGTGGTGGGCACCTATAGTTCCAGCTACTTGGGAGGCTGAGGCAAGAGGATCACTTGAGCCCAAGAGTTTGAGGTTGCTGTGAGCTATGACATTTTCCTTGACCTCATCTGTTACTACTGATTAGTGCTAACTTCTTTTTTTCTTTTTTTTTTTTTTTGAGACAGAGTCCCACTTTCTTGCCCCTGGGTAGAATGCCGTGGCATCATAGCTCACAGTAACCTCCAACTGTAGGGCTCAAGTGATTCTCTTGAGAGAGAGGATACCTGAGAAAGGTGAGGTCCAGGAGGACAGGCCTTCTCAATGAGACCACAGGGATATACCTGTGGGGTCCTCTCCATGGTGACTCAGCTCTTGGGAATTTGTAGACTTGGCTTCCTAGAACCTGGAAATTTCCACTTCTGTGAAATCCTATAGTTCTGTGGGGGCTGGAATAGCATCTCCTGCTTGATTCAAACTGACCAATGAGAAAGGTACCTGTGGATTGGAACTGTTTAAATCTCCCTTTGGAGATAAAAAGGGAAAGACTGAGCCAGTTGGAGAGCATGGCCATTTCCAATTCTAAGCCATAAGCTCCTCTGGCTGAAATAAAAGCCCTTCCTCTTATAAATGTTGTGTTTGGGTGTTCTTTCTGTCCTTTGGGCCTCATCTCCCGGCAACACTCTTGCCTTAGTCTCCAAAGTAGCTAGAACTACAGGCTCTGGCCACAATGCCTGCTAGTTTTTCCATCTTTAGTAGAGACAGGGTCTTGATGTTGCTCAGGGTGGTCTTGAACTCCTGAGCTAAGGCTATCCACCTGCCTCAGGCTCCCAGAGTGCTAGGATTACAGGCATCAGCCACCATGCCAGGCCTTCCTATAATCTTCATAGTAGGTATAAATATGAGAAACAAACAAAAACCAGTTATTGGCATTTGTATCAAATGCTTGGATGAAGTTCAAAGGATGATCCCAAGAGAAGGGTGGTTTGTTTCAGCTTAAGCTTCTTCTTGAATCCTTCACCGTGGGTAGGGACACAAAGCTGTCCATATACTAATTCCTGCCACCTGTGAATATGTTAGGTTATATGACAAAGGGAAATTACAATGGTTGATGGAATTTAGGTTGCTAATCAGCTGATTTTGAGATGGGAAAACTATCCTAGATCGTCAGAGTAGATCCAATGAAATCACAAAGGTCCTTACGAGGGGAAGTGGGAAGCGGAAAAGAGAGAATCAGAGAGACCGCAGCAGGAGAAGGGCTCAGCCAGAGGATGCAGCCTTGAAGACAGAGGAAAAGGCTCACAGTTCAAGAATTGTAGGTAGTTTTTAGAAGTTGCAAAATGTAACAAAACAGACTCTCCTCTACACCCAATTTTAGTCCAGGGAGGCCTGCATCAGACTTTTGACCAACAGACTTGTGAGAAAATAAATGTGTTGTTTTTAACCCACTCAATGTGTGCTCATTTGTTATAGCAGTGATTGAAAACTAGCTGTACTTTTACTCCAGTAATTGTCTTCTGTGCCACGCACCCAGCTGTCAAGGATTCCACAGACATTTACATCTTAGTATTTGTTGACTTTCTCCATATTTCATTTCAAGGCCTTTGTCTAATAGATCCTAAAAAAACATATCCTATGTTAAATAAGAAGAGAGCCAGGATGCCATGGCTGGATGATCCCTTTGATCCTAGCACTCTGGGAGGTCCAGGCAGGTGAATTGCTTGAGCTCAGGAGTTTGGGACCAGCCTGAGCAAGAGTGAGACCCCATCTAGAAAAATATCCGGGTGTTGTGGCGGATGCCTGTAGTCCCAGCTACTTGGGAGGCTGAGGCAAGATGCTCTTGCCCTTGAGTACAAGAGTTTGAGGTTACTGTGAGCTATGATGCCACTGGCTCTACTGGGGCAAGAAAGTGAGACTGTTTCAGAAAAGGAAAAAATTATTAGAAGGGGGGAAAAAAGAAAAAAAAATGATAAGAAGGGGGAGAACAATATTTTGGAAAGGAGAATTAATTTCCCTTAATTCCTTGGTAACTGAAAATCTTTTCATGTAGCACATGGGTCAACCTTAAATCACCAGATTTTGCAAGGCTTAGAATTACTATTTTCTTCTTTTTCTCTCTAATGACCCTGTTTTCTGAGCTAAAATGCACTGTATTTGTTATGGATAAATATTTTGTGCCAGATTTGTCTAACCACACACGCAAAGAACTGGATCAACTTTTTCTTTCTTTTATCTTTTAATTAATGTTACTGTTCCTCTTTAATTTCACAAAGGTGGAGACATGAGAAAGAAAATTCATAATTCTGCCTATGGCAAAAGAAGGAAGTGAACTTAACCATGTTTTTATTCTCCTACCTCTGCTAGTAGCTAATGCAACCCGAAAAGTAGTTGGTATTGGCCAAAAGCTAGCACTGAAGAGTTCCGGGTTTTCTCACTCTACGGAGATTTGAATATTTCACAAAACATCCCTTCTCCACATGAGCTACAACCATATTTATGCCTTTATTTTTTTCTCATTAACTTCTCAAGTAGTAGCCTTGGAAAATGGTGGCTTCCAGAGTGACACATTCCTGACTACCCTAGGGCTGTGTTTTAGTACTTTGTTTGGAATCTTCTTTTTCCTAAAATGTAGAGCAGCTAATTTTCGGACTAAAAGCTCTGCCTTAGGCTGGCTTAACATATTTATGCATAATTGGGTGACCGGAGAGCCCACGGTTTCCAGCTTTGCAGGCCGGGTTCCTGCTGCTCCCCCTCATCCCGTCTCTGCGCGGACATTACCGCCGCCACTCCGCGATGCCGACGCGCACAGTGGTGTTGGGAGGCGGCCGCAGGCCCGGAACCGCAGGTCCGCAGGGGCACCCCCGGCCTGGGGGCGTCTTGCAGGACGGCGGCCGGGCACGGCCTGGCGGGTGGGACACTCTTGAGACCCTCCGACAGGCCCCACGATCCCAGAATGTGACCCCCGCTGGGACCGAGCCGCAGTGCTCGCGGGCCTCAGCTTGGGGTTGGGGCCCCCCTCCAGCGAGCCGTCGGGAAAGGTTGTGACCTCGAGACTCCGCGGTACGACTAGAGCCGTTACCCAAGACCGCAACTGGGCGGGGCAGGGGCAACTTCCGGTTTCCGCCCCGCCCCCTAGGCCAGCTCCTCCTCCAGGCCCCGCCCACTGCCCCCCATCTCACCTCCACGGTGCCCCACTCCCCCCTCCTCCCGTTCCATTTAATTGTTGGATTGTCAGCGCCGCACTCCCGCCAGCGGCCGGCAGGGGGCGGAGTTCGAGCTTGGATTTTTTCCGCCGGGCGTCCCCCCGGGAGGCCGTCGCCGCGTGGGGGAGGGGAGGGCGGGGCGCGAGGACGCGGTTCTGTAGGCGGCTGCGCTACTTTTGGTCCGGGCTTGGCGGGGAGGCCGCGGCTGCCGCATCAGAGCTGACGTGGGGACGACGTGGGGCCGCCGCCGGCGCGGGGTTGCTGGGCGGCGGCGCCGCTGCTAAGCGGCGGCCGGGCTGGCGGTCTCCACCTCCTCCCGTCCGTAATCAGTGACGAGGTCCGCTACGTAAACGCCATCGCGGCGGGTAAGTGGCGCGCCGGCCCCGGACCCAGAGACCTAGGAGCTGGCGACGCGACG